CTTGGGAACACAGCTGGCATGCTGTAGGCGAATATGGGAAATCAATAAAGTCATCCTCTTTATTGCTTCACACTTAACTAAGCATTGCTCTTGGGCTGGGGCCTACTTCTCCTTACAAGGAAACATCTGCTATAGTTCCCCCTCAACCCCAGGGTCAGTCTTTTTCTCTCTTCATCTCCTCATCCAAACTTAGCTATTCTGTGGCTAATGTCCTTTCTCTCTGATAGGTGACAACTAGCTAATTGTTTCTTTCTTTTTTTTTCTTAATGAGGCAATCGGGGTTAAGTGGCTTGCCCAAGCTCACATAGCTAAGTAAGTATCAAAGTGTCTGAGACTGGATTTGAACTCAAGTCCTCCTGACTCCAAGGCCAGAGCTCTATTCACTGCTCCACCTAGCTGCCCTAATAACTAGCTAATTGAATCAATCAATCAATCAATCAATTAATGGAATTAAAAGAATGTGTTTTTATAGATGCTTATGAGTTTATGTTTTAAAATTGCCAGGTGAAATATTTCTGTTTTGACAAGGATCTCCTGTCTGAATTCATTGGTGGGGTTCTCAAACACTGCAGCAAGACAGTGGGGAGCATCAAATTATGGAACAATAAAATGTTGGACCTTAAAGTTTATCTAGTCCAATCTCCTCATTTTACAGATGAGAAAAACGATACCCAGAGGATCAGAGTGACATACTCAACTAGTCACACATCTAATTCATGACAACCAGGGCCGCAACCTAGGTCTCCTACCTCTCTCAGTTCAATGTATCACAAGGCATAGACGGATGGGCTCTATGATCATTCTTGGATCATATCAATAAGATCATGGCTGGCTGAATTGTAAGCTCTCAAAGGCAGGATTTGTGCTTTGTGCTTCTTTGTATGTCCATAGTACTTAGCATAGGCTGTGATAGAGATGGAGAAGGTGCAGGAGATTGAACTGGGTATGAATTGAGCTCAAGAGAGACCCTGGATGGTTGTATTTTTTTTAACCTAATTACTCACATAGATTTCTTTATTTTGTTTTTGTTTTTTTGTCCTCACAGAGGACATGAGGGTATGGACATGGTGATTTGTTTGTTCAAAGTCTCTCTATAGGTTCTTCTTGTTTAGGAGTTTATAATAAGTCACTCCCCAGCTCAGGAAACCTTCATGGCACTCTGTTGCCTATGGAACGATGTTCACACTCCTTCATTAGTTTGTAGGCACCTTGAGGGCATGGATTGTCTGTTTACCTCCTGATATCTCCATGTAAAAGCTGGCATGACCTGAGGCTGCATTGATAGATATATAGGATCCAGAAGAAGGATGATCAGCTCACTTGTGCTCTGCCTTGGCCATATCTTTGTACAATCTGAATGACCACTTTGCAGGGACCTTATAGAGGAGATTCCTGTTCATGGGTGGCTCGTTCAGGGTGCACTGGATGGCTTCTGAGGTCCCTTCTGACTCTGACATCCTATGATTCTTTTACATACTGTACTAGATTGTAAGCTCCTTGAGGGCAGAGACTATTTTTTGGGGGGGGCGGGGTGAGGCAGTTGGGGTTAAATGACTTGCCCAGAGTCACACAGCTAGTAAGTAGACTATTTTTTTTATGCATCTCTGTATAGCACCTTGCAGAAAGACTAGTTGATCAATGAATATTATTCTGAACCAACACTGCTATGACAAGATCTTTCCCAGCTTAGTCTTAATCTACTTCTCCAGCTTTATCTCCCATCAGTCCCCTCTAGGATCCCTATAATGTAATGCAGTGAGCAGCTATTAAATGCCAGTTGTGTGCAAGGCATTACAGTTCCATTAAACCATCCTATTCACTGTCGTCAGCACATTCCTGTGACTGCCTTTTCTCACACCCATCCTTTCTATCTGGAAGGCCTGTCCCCATTCTTCAAGGACCGGCTCAGATGTTTCCTTGGCTCTGAAAGCTTCCCTAATCACTTACTCCCAGACGCGATCCCCTTTTCCTTGGAAGGAGATCTTGTTGTCTACCCTGCTTGTTTGGTGCTGAAAACATACTGCTTTGTATTATAATCAGCGGTGTTTATGGGAGCCAGAAAAACCGACGCAATGGTAGGCTCATTAATGGCAGCCTGGCGGCCAGAATAAGGATCGTCTTACTCTACTCTTTGATGGGCAGACCATATCTGGAGTATCCCATTCCATACTGGGCACTACATTTTAGGAAGGGCCCTAACAGATTGGAGCATGTCCAGAGGAGGACGAATAGGTTGGTAAGAGGACTATAAATCATGCCACAGGAAGATCAATTCAAGGATCTGGAGGTGTTGGGAAGGGAGTCAAGACATAGGGGGACGTGATGATTTTCAAATACTTCAAGAACTCTCTTCTCAAAGAGAGATTTAGCTTATTCTTTTTGGTTTTACAGGGGAGAATTAACTGCCAAGAGTGAAAACCTCAGAGAGGCAGATTTCGGCTGGAGAGATTGAAAAGAGGGAGGCAGAGTGATACAGTGGGAAGTACGCTGGACCTGGACTCATGAGAGGCATGCATTCAAATCCCATCTCCAACACTTATAGTTGTATTACCTTAGACAAATCACTTAACCTCCCTGAGACTCAGTTTCTTCATTTGCAAAAAATACCTGAGGTACTTGTTTTTTAGGGTTGCCTTGCAGGTTCAAATGTGATAATGTATACAAATGTGATAATGCATCCAAATCATGAAGCACTACGGATAAGTGTCAGTCATTCTTATCAGAACCACCCACTAGTAGAATGAGCTGCCTTGGTAGGTGGTAGGTTCTCCATCACTGCACCTTCTCACCTGAAGACAAGATGGTCGCTTTTCAGGGATCTCATAGAAGAGATTTCTATTTTTTTTGAGTTGTTGTTGTCCAGTCATATCCGACTCTACATGACCCTATGGACATTGTCCGTGGGATTCTCTTGGCAAAGATGTTGGAGTGGTTTGCCGTTTCTTTCTTCAGTGTGTCTCCATTTTACAGATGAGGAACTGAGGCAAACTGGGGTTAAGTGACTCGCCCAGGGTCACACTGCTAGTAAGTGTCTGAAGTAAAATTCCAACTCAGGTCTTCCTAAGTCTGGGCCTGCTGCTCTTTCCACTGCACCACCTAGTCTTTCCTCTTGGACTATGTGGCCTCTTAATTCCCTTCCAACTCTTAGATTCTATAGTTGCTGTACTAAATTGTAAGCTCTTAAAGGCAGGATTTGTGCTTTGTGCATCTCTGTATGTTCATAGTACTTAGCATAGGCTGTGATAGAGATGGAGAAGGTGCAGGAGATTGAACTGGATATGAATTAAGCTCGAGAGACCCTGGATGGTTGTGTGTTTTTTTGAAATCTAATTACTTACATGGCTTTGTTTATTTTCGTTTTGTTTCTTTGTCCTCACAGAGGCAGTATGGTGTAAGAACATCATGGTCTTGGAATCATTGACTCAGTGTTTGAGATCTGTTTCTGACAATGACTGGTTAAGTGACTTTACCCCTCTGAGCCTCATAGGATCATAGATTTAGAGCTGGAAGGGACCCCCAAAGGCCATTTAGTCCAATCTCTTATTTTAAATATATGAGGAAACTGAGGCACAGAAATATTGTGTGACTTGCCTAAGGTCACACACAGGTAAGTGTCTCAGTCCTCTCATATATGAAATGGGAATAAGGATAATACTTATAACTACCTGATTTTTTTTTTTTAAAGGGCATTGGAAGAAAGAGTTAGAAGAACTGGGTTCAAAATCCAAGCTCTGCTACTTTCTACCTGTGTAAACTTGGGCAAATCAATTCATATCCTTAGGTCATGGTACCCTCATCTGTAAAAATGAGTTAACTTGGTTTTAAGGGTCCATTTCATCTTAAAGCCTTTAATCTTATTGTCTGTCCCACATCACAGGGTTGTTTTTTGTTTTGTTTTGTTTTTAGAAGAACAGCATTTTATAAATACTAAGGTACTATAAGAATTCACAATACTCTAAGAAATTCCATTTAATTGAGTAGGGAGAGGTAAGTTAATTGAGGATTTGCTATTTTCCCATTACACCACACCTTTTTGATTTGTTACCCAATCTGGCGGTTTGGGGTTTTGTTTTGTTTTGTTCCCTTGAGATGAGGACAGCCAGGGCTTGTCTACATCTTCAATTTCTCCCTCCCTCCTAATTATTACACAGGGTTTTGTTGTTGTTATTTTTTTTTTTCAAACAAGGAAGACCTGGCTGAGGAAGCCCAGGCTGAAGTAGCATCTAGATGACAGCACTGGACCCTCCCCCCACTCCTCCTCCCCAGGGAGGTTACCATATGCTTTCTGGATGTCCGGGTCTCATTGTGTAGCTGCTCATAAATTCATCTTGTTTCATCGTGCTCTGAGGCCTGCTGATGGGGCCAGAGTGAATTCAGTAACTACTAGTGGAGGATCTGTTTGCCTGGGAGGATCACCATGGCAACTGAGGTATCAACGCATTGTAATGAACTTAGTCAGCACAGCCCAACATGGGAAACCGAGGAACCAAATGCTGCCAGTTCACTGGGTTGTCTACTGTAAGGCGCTATAGCCCTCTAACAGATCAGCAGCTGGGCTAAGTTGGGGGGGGGATAGTTGGGGGTGGAGGCAAGATGAGAGATAACCTTCAGCTTGGTTTGATCCTTTCACTACCAGGGCAAGGTCCATATACAGCCTATTTACTGATATGCTAAGCTTGTAACTCCTTGGCCACAGAACCTGGATAAATAAAATCCACAGAAGATGCAAAATCCTCTTTTTTTGCATTCTTTTTGCTTGAATTCTTGCGTTGCATTCTTGCAATCCCTCTTCTCCCAAACCATTTTTTTTTCCTTTGGGGGGAAAAAACATACCAGATCAGCAAGTGTGACTTGTTCAAGGTCATACAAGTAGTAAGTATTGGAACTAAAATTCAAAGCTGAGTTTTTTGGCTCCAAAAACAGTGTTCTTTACACTATTGCATACCGCCTCTTGATGTCCTTTTTGTAAGTCACTCCCAAATGCTTGTTATCTTTGTCAGCAGAGCCCAGGGACAGTAGCTGAAGCTTCCTTTGTTGTAAGTGACAATCCTTTGGGACCTCAGGGAACATCATTGTGAAGAGATTCCTCTGTCCTGGACTGTGAGTGGAGATGGAGAAGGTACAGGGGACTGGGTGGAATTCAGATGGAATCTAACACATCCTTTTGTTTAATCTTGCTTTTTATATGGGAAATTCTTTCTTATACGGGAATTTCTTTCTAAAATGTAATTTATGTCTTTTGTTTTTACTTAGCCCAGATTTCCTCTGTATGCATTCTCCCCATCCCCTCCAGAGAGCTATTTTCCTCATACCAAATAATTTTTTTAAAAAGAAAGGAAAAATTCAGGGAAATCTATCAATACACTGAAAAACCTGACATTTCATGTACTATTCCATACCTATATGGTACCTGCCAGACAAGGAATTGGGAGAACTGTCTTTTCATGTCATTTCTTTGGGGTCAGGTTTGTTATTTGTAGTTTTGTAACACTCATGGTGATACTTTCATTTGCATAATTATAGTCATTGTCTTTCTTGCCACTACTTATCACTGTGTATCAGTTCATGTAAATCTTTCCATGATTTTCTGCATTCATCATAATTACTGTTTCTTACTGCACAGTAATATGCCTTTGCATTCATGTACCACTCCTTAGTTGATGGGCATCTACCTTATTTCCAATTCTTCAAATGAATGAGTGAATGAATGAATATTCAGCCCAAACAAGCTCCTTTAGGGATTGTTCTCAGGTTTAAACTGCTGGTGAATGAATGAATGAAAGAAAGAAAAAAAAAGTATTTACTACATACAAAGCACAATGCTAAGCACTAGGACTGCAAGGAGAAAAGTAAGACAGTCCCTGATTTCAAGGGCTCACATTCTAATGGGAGAGACAACATATAGGGAATGTTTCAGCCCAATTCAGATGAAAAGGTCTGGTGATCTTGGGGTGCAGCAGTGAAGCAGATAGTAAAGCCTCTTCTTTAATGTCATTTCCATTGGTAAAATTACATCAGTTTCTCGTGCTGAACCATGTGACAATGCCAGAGACTTGGGTGACCAAAACATCCTTTTCTAGGCTTTCAGTAGGTATGGTTGTGGTTCTGCAGGAGCAGTTGCCCGGCCTCATCTCCATGGGGATTGTTCCCAGGATGATGGCTGTCTCCATTGGGGTCCGAGAGGAGATGATGGTCAAGATCGCGGTGGTGGTTTGACTTGCCTGGCACACAGTGCCTCCCATCTCTTCTTTAGGGTCCCTGCAGCTTCAACTAGGCTGGCTTGCCTGCCCATTGAGTGACAGTTGATCCACAGCTGGTCCACAGTTGGTAGGGTTGGTTGACCTTTTCTCACTAGGAGTTGCTTCCCCTGGTGCTGGCTGTGAGACCAAGGCTTGAAGCAGGACTGGTGGTCTGAGAGGGTGCTGCTTATCTGCCTGTTGGTGACAGCTGTCAGCACAAAAACTCCTGCTGTAACTATTTTGATGAATATGGAGCTTTTCTTTCTGTTAATGGCCTCTTTGTGGCAAATGCACAGCAATGGAATCTCTGCATCAGGAATTACGTACATTCTGGCCACTTTATATGTATAATTCCAACTTGCTTTTCAGAATGCTTGTACTAATTCACAGCTCCACCAACAATGTATGGGTGTTTTTGTCTTTCCAAAATCTCTCTGACATTGACTTCCTATCTTTTGTCATCTTTGCCAATTTGCTGGATATGAGGTGTCTTAATTTGCATTTTACTTGGTATAAGTGATTGAAGCATTCTTTCATATTGTTGTTAATAGTTTGTAGTTCTTCTTTTGAGAACTGTTTGTTCACATCCTTTGACCTGTGGAAAGGTCAGAAAAGGGCAATAGCAGTAGTGCAAAAAGATACAGATAATCCACATCCTCATTCCATCAGTCTCTCAACAGAGAGCTGACTGAAGGCTGCAAAAGTCATGGATCTCTAAGTGTGGCAAAATGAGGAATGGAGAAAGAATTGATGCAGAAGGAGCATAATTTTCCTTCTTCTTATCTGAGTCTCTGACAGTAGCCTGGAGGGAGAAGTATAAGTGGAAAGGAAGGGAGAGGAAACATGTCTGATTTTTAATTAAAAGTGAAAGAATGCCTCCCAGCCTGGCCTTGGCCTCCTTCTGGACAATGATGCTTCCCCTATCCTCGGTAGCCTCGCAAGGACGCTATATGTGTATGGTATATGTAAAAGAGGGCTGGAGAGCTGTTGACAAGCCTGGGAAGTGCTGGGGGAAAGGGGGAGACTTAAAAGGGTCCTGAATCATGCTTTCTGTTTTCTCTATTCACTCCTCTGGTCTCTGACCAGGTTCTGATTTTCCAGTGACCAAGCCCCAGACTTTTATGCCATTTCCCTAGGATTTTACTTCCTAGCCCTATATACAAATTCCTTAGTGACTGGGATTATTGGGTCATAGGATTCACAGCTGCAAGGGACCTTAGCAGCCAACTAGTCCAAGCCCCTAATTTTACAGAAGGGAAAATGGAGGTTCATTCAGAGACATGGAATAACTTACTTTAGATCACGCCGATGGGAGTAGCAGAGTCAGGATTCAAACCTGATTTCCTGTCTTCCCCCCCACCCCATATATATTTCCTTCCCCCCATCCTAGTCCTATCAGTGACTAGAATTCTTACCCACTCTCCTTCTCCCCCATCTCGCAGTGATTCAAATTATCTCTGCAACCCCAGTAGCCCTATAACTGTGTCACCAATACCTGGTGCCAACCTTACCTCTTATAGACAGCACACCAATCCAGACTTATACTTGGGATTTTGCCAATTGTTTGCTCCACCTCTGCTTAGAAAGTTGCATCTCTGAGGGCAGGTACTATGTCTTATTCAGGTTTGAAAAAATAGCTTCTGAGGTTCCTTCCAACTCTGAGATTCTATGGTTCTGTGACCTGAATGTTCAGTTCTATTTGGACCACTTGTGAATGGTCCCTAGATATCATGTGTCCCCACCCCAAGACTGATCCCAAGTATCATACCTCTCTCTGTGATCCTTTTGTCAAAATCCTTCATCTTACAGAAGATGAAACTGAGGCACAGAGAGGGTCACTTCATAAGCCCCCATCGATGTGGTTACCTGTGATAGTCAGCAATATGACACATTTAGCTCAAAGCAAAAACATTTATTAGAAGAGCATAGGAAGAAAAGTAGCAACAAAATGACTCTCATAAACTTGAGGTGCACGCTTCCACAAATACACCATCAATGGGGAAAGCGAACAAGTACAAAGATTGAACAGAATGGGGCCCACATGTGGAGAACGCATGTGCAGGGCCAATTTACACCTCCATGATGAGTTTTTGTAATTTTGCTTCCCTGTTCCTTGGCTGAATGTGATGCTCTACTGAGCTCACTGTGTCTGTTTTCTACTGGGCACATCATTCTACCAATTGGCTGAATTCTTTGATACTTCTAGCTCAGAGCTCAGCTGAAGACCTTGGCTAGGGCACTGTTGTGCTTTTTAAAATTTTTCTTTCAAATTTTTCTTTTTTTCAGAAAGAACTAGAAACCTTATACTAGGACCAGCAGGAAGCTTAGCCATTTCAGGTCCCTCACAGTCTCAGCTCTGAGGCCTGCTATCTTCTAAGTAGCAGGATCTCAGTTCCAGGTGCCATGTTCTCTCTTTCTTCTTGACCTTTTTTATGCAGAAGGTTAGAGTTCAGGAAGCAATTTATCCTTGATTTCTTCTCTCAGGCTTTAGGCAAGCACATGTTTCCTATTGCCACGTGCTTCTGTCATAGGAAAACATTGCTATTTGGAGTGTGGAGCCTGAAGTCCTCTACCCTTTTGCTGCAATCTGCAAGAGGTGAAAGTGTAAATGTGAAGAATGGGTCCTCAAGAGCTCAGTGCTTCCTCAAGAGCTCAGTCTTTTCTCTGGAGCTGATTCTTGAGCTGAATACCCACAGAGTTGGCCCAAATTGCTTTTTAAAGGCCACTAAGGATATGGCTGATCTTCAGCAAGGCAATCACTGGAAGTTCCACCCATCAGTTGCCTTCATACAATGACCACCACTCTATTATGTTATTAGGTTATTCAGGAAACACATTTTTGTTCTCTTATCAGGTTATCAGTCAATCAATAAGCATCTACTAAGTGTCACTTTGTGACAGGGACTGTGCTAGCTTCTGAGGATCCAAATACTGTAAATGAAATGATCCTTACATGGAGTTTCCATTCTAATGAAGGAGGCAACACACATCAAAGTATATATAGAATAAAGATAAAGAGAAGAAATGCAAAGTAGTTAAATACGTGGCAATTTGGAAAGGAGAGCACCAGCAATTGAGAGGATCAAGAAGACAGAAGAGAGAAAGAGAGAGAGAGAGGGAGAGAGAGAGAGAGAGAGAGAGAGAGAGAATAACTGAAAAGACTGGAAAAGATGAGAGAGGATGACATCTAGCACACATCTAGAAGGACTGGCCTTGGCAACACATGGCCTACTTCATTCTTAGACCTAAGCAAAAGGAAGTGGGAAATAATGTCAAGTGGATTTGAGATGAAGAGAATGGGAAAAGAGGAAGTTTTCTTTGAATGACCTCAATTTCTTAGTAAAATGAGAGATGAAATCTTTAAATGAGAGAGGTGGGGGAAGAGGGGGTGTGGATAACCTGTGGAGAGGGAAAGAAGGTTTGGAATGGTTTCTATGTGGAATAAGATATGGAATTAATTAGGGAGGAATAAAAGGATTTGCCTTGCTGCAGTGAGAGCCCAGATGAAGCTGGATAAGATGGATTTATAATATACTTAGCCACTCTAATGAGTAGAATAGGAGTAAGAGTGGAAGAGGAGAATAATGGGAGTAAACTGGGACCAAAGTTTGGCAAGAAATAAATGGGATCAGGACAAAGGGGTAAAGGATTTTAGAGCAGATGTTGTAATAAAGTTATAATGGCTTGGAAAGGGAGTAAAGTGAGGTCGGACCATGGCTAATACCCTTAGAAAGTACTGAAGGGTAGAGAGACAGGAGGTCTTGGAGAGAATAAGGAATAGTTTTAAGAAAGATGAAGCCTAGAGAGAGATGGAATGATAGGAGATTAGGGTCAGATGGTGGAATGTCAGTTTTTAATTAAGGAAGTGGAACACTTGCGG